TCTTCCAAGACCTTTCAACTGATTTAGCCAGACCCGTTTAGATTATCTAGGGCTCTCCCTTCCTTCCTGGTTATGACCTATAGTCTCACACAGTCTCACAATAGCACTTAGACCCGTGTTTAAATAGCTGGGTATAGTAGCCCAGTCATATTGTAACATAGGTTCTTTCCTGATGCCTACCACAAATTCCCTGATGACCCATGGAGTGGGCCAGTTCTTTAGGCACTTGTGGCTAATCAGGTATCTCCTTTTTAAAGTATCTCCATTAAACATGGATTATTTGGAGCCAGCAATGATGGCTCAATAGGTAAAGTACTTGGCATTTTTAATATTGCAAGTGGTCCCACAGAGGTCACTCCCTCATACCTGCTCCTGTAGAGGCTTGGGCATGCTTCTGCGGAGGTCATTGACTTGGGTCTGGTTCCACAGAGGTCTCTCGCTCGGGCCTGCTCTGGTGGAGGCCTTTTGTGCTTCTTATTGAACTGATTTCATTGACTGTGATATCCCTAAAGTTGAGGCTGGAGAAATGGCACAGAGGATTTGCTGATCTCGTAGAGGACCCACGTTCAGGTCCCATCACCCACATGGAGGCCCACAGCTGTCTGTAACTCCTGTTCCAGGGGATCCAGTGCTGCCTTCTGGCCTCCTCCGCAGGTGCACAAGTACACATACATATATGCAGGCAAACATACACATGGCATAGCACATTAAATCAAAACAGAATTAAAGAAAAGAAAATCCCCTGAGGTTTAGCGCTGAAGTGCCTTGAGGCTGACACTTAGAGAAACAGTTTTAGATAAACTTTGTTCAGGCTTTTAGTGTGTTGGGCATACTCTTCTGGGCACAGGACTCTCTATACCTTTGTTCCCTCAGAGAATCTTGGAGATTTGGGGTCATGTATGCGGGAAGGGAGGGAAACACACAGGAGTTTGCTGTGGTTAGGCCCATGTGTTCCACCATAAGGTCAGGTGGGCACCAGCTCTGTGGGGACTGCATGGTCCCCAGGCAGATGCTTTTCTAACTGGGTAGCGTTTTAAATCACGAGTGACTATTTGTAACAAGCTTGTCTCTAAGGGACGTGAATTTCTGCTAACATGGGGAATGGGGGTGGCAGTGGGTGGTCCCAGATCTGTTCTCAGTCCCCAAGCTCAGGTAGAACAAAGTGGGGATCAAGGTTACACTCTCCTTCCCAGTTACTCCATGCTATGGCTGTCCCAAAGCAACAGCGCCACCTATGGGTCATGGCACAGTTTCTTAGTCCTTCACTTCCCTTCAGGAAATGCTTTTCTAGCTTCTTGTTACCTAGATCAAAATAAGATCAAGGTGACATCATTTGATATTCCCAATTACAATGCTGGCAAGGCACATGGACTCTTCTTCCTCAGGACACCATGGAATCCCTTCCTCCTCCATTTTTTCTGCTTTGCTATTTGGGGCCTACACTCTGCCGTCATTTTCTGCGGGCTCAGTTGTTCCATCGCCTGCTCTCTCTGTGCTATGCTAACTCGGGTGTCTTGTTCTGTTTTCAGAGAAAGGGGATGAGTGTTCACATGTAATCTCTAAGAAACCTGAATCCCACAGGAAATTCTATACGTGTGGGAGAATGGGCTCAATTTATCATGGAGCTGAGCTCGCGATTGGCAGAGAGTAATCATGTGACTTTGCTACCATTCCAGCTAGAGGTATCAACAACATGGTGGAAACTACGTGACTTGGCCACCATCTTGGTTAGTGACATCATCAAGATGACGATGACCATGTGACTTCACCATCATCTTGGTTAAGGCAATCACAAAAATGGTGGCACCTATAAAACTTCCCAGTACAACTTGAGTCCTTAGGGGATTGCCACTTAGAATCTTGTGTGGCACAGACATTCAGTTACATATCCCATCTTCTCCCATCTTTTTTTTCCCCCTTTCCTAGCTGCTTAATGGGATTGTGGAAATAGGAGAGACTCTCTTGCCTGTGATAAGGTCAATAGAGTCAATGAATTCCCTTTATCAAAGCAAGGAGGCAATGTCAGACCTCCACAGTAGATTCTTTAGCTTTTGACACACTATGTTGCATGATATGTTTGCTGGGTTCTAGGAGGACTTAATGTTTTCCCAGCCATGTGCTTCCATCACTGGCCAGCTACCAGGAGGAGTTGACATTTTTAAGACAGATAGACCTGGGAAGCTCACATGAAACTGTAGTAGGCTAGGGACCAGTCTTGGGTCAGATTTCAACTGGGAGCCAAGGAATAGGTTGCCAGGTGCTAGACACCTGCTCAGGCTAGAAGCTAGAGATGCCAGCTCCTCAGGGCCAATGCCTGCTCCGTCTGCCAGGCATCTCCAGGCCTGTTTCTGAGAGAGAATGGTCTTCCTCTCTAGTCACTCCTTCACTCCACATTTCTCTGCTTTTGTTTCTGCTCTGTCATGCTCTGGCTGCCTGGCTTCTGTTCCCACTCTCCAGATGAAGGGCGACAGACATGCAAAAGAGAAAGAGAAGGTTGGTGCCATCTCTTTCTGAGTTCTTGTAGATGTTTCCTTGTGTTCGGTATTTGGTACTTTCTAAATGACAGGGACTTTGATTCCTGTTCTGTGTGGTAAATGACAACATGGCTGTTCTAATCCAGGTGGCCTTATTGATAGCCCATGGAAAACTCCCCCTGGAGCATCTATTGTTCTTGCTTCCAGTCTAGATGGAAAAATGTGATATGGGCTGACAGGTTATACATTTAAGGAAAAGGGATCAAAGGGAATGTTTAAGAGAAATATTAGATATTCAACCTACAGAGGAGCTGAGACCCTCTCTGGCTTATATAACCACTAGGGGTTGGCTGATTTCCCTGACACAGGGTCAATATCTTCTCTGGAGGCTTTGTTTTATTTCTTTAAATTTTTGTGTGACCCATTAAAACAAAGTTTGATAAGAAAAGAAGGATGTTGACTGGTGTCACGCTGGGCACCATTCTGTTGACTGAGGTTTCTGTCCTGCCCAGTTCCCACAGTCGTTAAGTCCCAAAGAAATCACACAGATGTCTACATTAACTATAAACTGGTTAGCCTAGTGGCTCAGGCTTCTTATTAACTCTCATAACTTATATTAGCTCATAATACTTATCTGTGTTAGCCACGTGGCTAGGTACCTTTTTTTGGCGAGGCAGTCACATCTTGCTTGCTCTGTGTCTGGCTTCCTCTATGTCTGGGTGATGACTGTAGACTGACTCTTTCCTGTTCCCAGGATTCTCGCATTCTCCTCGCCCTGCCTCCACTTCCTGCCTGGTAGTCCCTCCTCTACTTCCTGCTTGGCCAATCAGCATTTTATTAAATACAATTGACAGGGTACAGACCATTGCCCCACAGCAGAAGGAAGAGGAGGAGAAGAAAAGAACATTGAGATAAGAACACAGAATATAGAGGAGGTGACCATCCTCCTGTGTCTACCGGCTTGTCCTGAAGTCTGGCTCATTGCAACACTCAGCTTCCAGTTGAGCGACTAAATAAATACATGAGGGTGTCCATGCTTTCAGGGACTGAAGGATGTCCCTCCTCGCTGCCAGCACTCCCCATGCAGGGACCTACGACACATCCCTCTGGAGACTGAAGAGGAAAGTTGCTCCGGGGCGGCCCTGCTTACAAGGGCTTGAGTTTTGTCTTTGGGGCTAGGGCACAGAGGTGCAACAGGCCTCCCATAGGCTCCCTTGCCTGCTTCCCCCTTTCACTTACACTTCAGTCCCCATTACCATCCTCATTTCCTCGTGGTATTCAGCTTAAGCAGAAGCTGATGTTTCTCATTCTCCCATGATTTTGGAAGTGGGTTCCTCCTCTCGTTTCTCCAACTTTAGCTTTCGGGAATGTGAACACCATGTTTAACTAGTCTACTTTAAATATCAGAACTCTTATCTTTTCTATTTTCCAAAGGTCTCCAATATGTTTCTTATTAATAAGCTGTACTGGTTTTTGCTTGCTTGTTTGTTTTTTTATAGTCCGAGGACTGTTACCGCCTGGACAAAGAAGACTTTGAGAGAGCTATTTCAACCCTGAAGTTAGTGAGCAGAGCTGAATGCTTTTGCATTGGCACTAAACGTTCAAAGAATACAGTAGCAAAGGAGCAGCCAGAGCAATGTTTCCAATGTAAGATTTTATTCAGCTTCTGCACTCAATTAGAGGTACCTACAACAGACTACAGACACAACCAATTAGGAAGGGCTCAATGGAAATGTTCAGAAAACAGTAACACAGAGAATGCTCAGGCTTACAGATCTCAGGCAAGCTACCAACCAGGTCTTAATTTTGCTCTTCATGTTGGGTGACAAAATTCTTAACTCACAAGGAAGAACCAATTTAAAACAAGATCGTAGGTGTGGGGCAAAACTAAACGAACTCCCCCAAAACCCCTGAGAACATTCTGACAGTAGCTCATCACACTAATGCTGCTATGTATACAGAGTGTATCAGAAGACTGAGAACAGTCTGTGGTGTTGGGGGAAAAGTAGGATACGGAATGGCCAGAAAAATCCCTAAGCTCAAATAGCAGGTTGGGGGCCTGGTTCTCATCAACAAGGAAGGCGTTGAGTGGAACGAAGGCAAGCCTTACCTCACCAGACAGGCTTGCTCCACAGGGTCCAGAGGCTAGGATCTGAGCAGCCCTGGAGGAACAGTGGCTTGCTTAAAGTTAGCTGCCACTAGGGTGTACGCCTTAGGGTTCCTCAGCGATGGGTCCTCAGCCCCTTGCGCTGTGGGTGGCTGGAATCTGTCAGGGCAGGACTGCTCCTGGTGCCGGTGGAGCAGCAGAGGCGAGGTTGGCAGTGTCTTAGGCCTCGAGCGGAGAGCCTTCTCTGGGAAAGTGGATGTTAGCATGAGTGGGGGGGGGGGGGGTGGAGGGGTTGTGTTGTTGTGCCGGGACCTACACTGGCCCGGAAACTGGGGAATGATCCCACATACATTATTCTCAAACGAGGTTTCAAAGTGTCATGCAGGTTCAGGGTGCCTCCCCAATCCCCCACCCTGGGCTCATGGAAGGTTTTGGGGGTTAGACTCTGGGGACCTGGTGCCATGGGAAGAGCCATCTGAATACGAGGACATCATCTCCCGGAAAGGTGACCTCTTGGTGGGCTTCTTTTTCTTTTTTTTAAGGTCCTCTTGTCTCGACTGTTTTAAATTTCCTGTGTCTTCTTCAATCACTGTCCAGAGTCGGGAAGGTTTCCTTGACTCCACTTCTTTCCTAGAGAGACAGAGGAGAGCTTGAGGCTGATTTTAGACACCCTGGGCTTAACTGCTACAGGGTATCTGCCAAGATCTCCAGCTCACCCTGGGCTTGACTGCTACAGTGTGTCTGCCGAGATCTTCAGCTCATGCCTGCACAAGTCTCTAAGCCTTGCCTGCTGCCCTAGGTGTTGGATACTTTAGACTTAAACGCCATTTGGTTCATGCAGATAAGTAGGAGTCCCACACAACAGGGAAAACCACATGTACCCAGTCCTTACCCAGTCAGTCAATAAACAGCATGCTCAAGCTCAGATGCCCCCAGCGCACACTTTAGCACTGCCCACTGACCGCCACGGATACGGCAGCCCAGCTCTACCACCGCTGAGGTTTCTCAAACTACGTGGCTCAAAGTGCAACATCAGAAACTCCCAAATGCCAGTAGCACTGTGACTTTTTATTACATTTAATAGGAAAAGCACAGGCCTGCCTATGATGTCATAGATAGAGACTTATTTAGAAAATGTACTGGACGAAGCTTGTTTATCAAGGAATGTTGGCTTTTCTTCCGAGAAAGCATCTTGGGAACGCCATGACTTCATTCTAGTCCACTCATCGTGGCCCACTGATTCGTCAATTTCACTTTTTTCAGAACCTCCAGGCTGTGTTAAGAGCACTAAATACCTGGGTTTAAACCCCGCTTTTGTTTCGCATTTCCACACGGGTCGTCTTGACCACCCTTGCCTCCACTCAGAAACATTTGGGTTTGGGTTTTGACCTGAATAACTTCGAATCATTAATGTTTCCAATTCTTCTGGAAAAATGTCAGAGAAAAATATGAGCTGGGAAAAGGCCCTTGGTTATTTTCAAACAGAAAAATCCCATTATTCAAATTACTCTGTAATGGATCAAGATTGTATCACATGTGGTTATTTTTCAAAGATTAGCACAAGACTCAGAAGGGAATTCCCAAGAGAGGCAAAAACAAAAAAAAAATGGCCCAAGCAGTAGCGGTACACAGAATAAAAAGGCTTTCCTGGATCCCTTCTCCCCCCCTCCGCCCACACAAACTATCTTATATGAGGTCTGTGCTTGTGTAGATGCCAGCTCTCTGGGAGAACATGTGCCTAGAGATATGAAGACCACACCTCGAGACTGCACCAAAAACACCTGCCTGTGAAATCTGAGCTCTTCTACTCCAGGTCCACTGCTGCTCATGCTGCTGCTTCCCTTGAAGCTAAGTTAGTTCTATTTTGTTTTTCTCCACTAGAATTGATTGTTTTTATAACCTACGGCTTCTTAGGAAGATAAACACCAAGGAAAGGGTAGCAGGGGTTTTCCAGATGTGTTAAAAAGCACTCCAAGCATAAGCAGAGAGATCTGTCTACCTGTCTGCAGGAGCTGGAGAAGAGGGGGGAGCCAAGAAGCAATATATGTATAGCTTTTGCTATGAATGAGTTATAGGTCACTTCCTAATGTAATTTTAGGCAGGCAATAATGAAATAGCAGGGGTTACTGTTATGGGAAGAGGTAACAAATATGCCAGTAAGTGGGAAAAGAGTTACAAAAGAGAATACTTATATTTTTATTTTTGTTACTAGGGTTGTGAATAGGCAAAGAAGACTAGACACTTTGAAGCAAACTAGAAACAGTTGCCTCTGGGAAATGGATTCCAATAGAATTGACATGTTATTCGCCTTTTTAAATTAAATTTGTAATTTAAAAACTTACATGTATGTATGTATTTATTTAATGTGCATGGATATTTGTATGCCTGTGTAACACATGTATGCCTGGTCACTGTGGGGGGCGAAGGAGGGGGTCAGATCCCTTGGGACTAGAGATATGGACAGCAATGAGCTACTATGTGGGTCCTGGGAATGGAACCCGGGTCCTCTGAAAGAGCAGCAAGTGCTTTCGACCACCGAGTCATCTCTCCAACCCCATGGTTCCCACATTTAAAATGTTTTGCAACTGTTATCCATGATAAGTAAAAACCATAGCGCTTTTGGCTTTGAAGAAAAAAATATGAATCAACACAGCAGATGAAAAAATCTAGAGGAATGCACTCCAAAACACAGTGCTTATTGATGCCACATTAGGTTGTGGATTTAAAAAGAAGGTCTTCCCGTTGCTTTTAATTTATAAGTAATCTTAGTTGTGCATTACTTTTGGAACAAGAACAAAACAAGACAAGTTGTTGCGGCTAGAACAAAAAGGTTTGGCCAGGAGAAAACTTTTTAAAATATTTGTTTATTTTTATTTTATCAGTGCTTTGCCTGCATGTATTTAAGAGCACTGTGTGTGTGTACTTCCCAAGGAGGCCAGAAGATCATCCGACTGGAGACTGGCTTACCTCAGTCTACAAGGGTGGATCCTCCATACGAGGCTGATATGCAAGCTCCTATCCCTGCCCTCCCCCTACATCTTACCCTGCTTCTTGGCCACAATCACTATGGAGACAGAAAGGGGTGCCATGACCCTATGGATATAAGCCATAACCATGACTGGACGTGACCCACTCAGTGGCTTTCTTTAGTTCAATCTCACACTAATGAAACATTAAACCTAGGTAATCCATTAATTGGTTTAGGTTATAGATTTGATTGACTGTTAAATGTCCCTTGTCCAAAATATTTGGGACCAGAAGTGTTCCAGGTTTTGGATTCTTTGCATATATGTAATGAGACACCTGGCAGATGGAACCTGAGTTCTAACATGGAGTTCAGTTCTGTTTCCCCACACACCCCTATGCATCTTGTGTAAGCTGATGCATATATACCTTTGCTGGCTCTGAACTGTCGCTGTCACCTGATACCTGAACCAGGTGTGAAGCTTTCCACTCATGGCATCCTGTTTGTTCTTTCTGAGTGTGGTAGTTTGAACGGAAAGCGCCCCACAGGCTCATAGGGCCTGGCACTGCTGATAGGTGCGGTGTTGTTGGGGGACGTGAGTCATAAGGGGGCTTTGAAGTCTAAAATGCTCAAGCCAGGTCCAGTGCAGTATTCACTTCCTGCTGCCTACTGATTCAGAACACTCGGCTACCTCTCCAGCACCACTATGTCTTCCCACCATGATGACAATAGACTAGACCTCCGAACTGTCAGCCAGCCCCAGTGAAATGCTTTCCTTCATAAGAGTTTTCTGGGTCATGGTGTCTTTTCACAGCAATAAAACCCTAAGACAGTGAGCATGTTGGATTTTGGATTTGGGGATTAGGGATAATTTATAATATACAATAATACAAGTTGCAATTCAATAAACAGAATCAGAATACACATAGTGGGATAGAATGAGGAGCCAGACACTGTGTCTTAACTGGTTCAGGACTCATTTCTATGGAGAAAGTGCTGAGAAACCATGATACATTTTTTTCTGGGTTCAAAATCCACCTATTCAGTTGATCAAGATTTGCCAATACCCTGGCTCTCTTGCTGGCCCCCAGAGGCCTCTTTTCTACATTGTCTCTTTTGCTCAGGAATAGGCACCAGACAGATGTCTCATGGGATCAGAAGGCCTCCGAATTGACAACGGAAGGAGAGGAAGATCAAGAGGCTGATACCATTGGTCTGAAAGTCTCTGATTCTTAAAGATACCCTAGCATTCTCTTGAAAGTAGGAAATGGCCTTGGTACTTAGAGATAGCATAGGATATGCACAGGCAGAGGTTTTACTATCATCTGACTGCAGGGATGAAGGGATAATGAGATGTACAGACTCACCGATTTCAAATGCCCAGCTAGCTCCCAGGGATGCTCTGTCAGGAGCGACTACATCAGAGCAAGGGAAGTGATGTGTTCATGCAATGCCAGAAGCAGTGCTGGGCCTTGATGTTTCATCAATGAGCTCATTTCACCGCTGTGGGAAGGCAGTGTGAGGCTCTTCTGTGCTGTCCAGGAAGGAGGCTAAGTCGCTTGGGAATCGGCCCTCCCACGGAAACATATGCCTAAAGCCATGGGAAGTCACCAGGCTGCTCTGAGGACAGACAATGGGATGCTAATGTTGTGTGCAACAGGGAATAGTGAGCTGACCAAAGACTCAAATGACCACCTCCAAGGCCTGGGAATGTCTTCCTTTCTGCAGTCTCACACACAAGAGTGTCCCCAAGACCCCACAGCACCAATGGAGCAGTAAGGGAAGACGAGCCCTTCCCCTCAGGTGCCTGATTTTTAATTCCCATCATATGGATTTTTCTGGAGCCCAGAGAAAATGGGTTAGTCCCACTTGTTTTCCCACAATCACATTTAGAATATTGTCACTACTGTTGTTATTGTTATTATAACTACGAAATCATAAAGCCTCTTAAGAGAACATCTTTCTAGAGGGCTGACTTGCCCAGGCCTGGCTCTGTCAAGTGGGCAGGTAGACTCCAGCTCTGCTGGAGGGGTTTGCAGCCAGCTACAGGGCACCAGGTATGAGGATTCTGCTCAGACCTGCCAGACACCCAGGTCTGGAGCTAGCTTCATGACACCTGGCTGAGGGGATTTCCCTCAGGGGAGACATCCAGACGCCCCCTTCCCCTGCAGCAACCAGAGGCTATGGACTTCTGATAGAAAGGAACAGGACCCAAAAAGAGGTGACCAGACTGGTTGAGAACAGAAGATTGCACGGACTCTAGCTGATCCCTTTTGATCCCTCTGACCAGTTTCCACCACATCTTTCACTGGTTATACTCTCCATCGGGGACCAGGAGAGGGATCTATCTGTAGGAAATACTCTGTTAGCCGCAGCTGAAGGGCCCCAGAAGGAAGAAGAGAGGGTGGGATGACAGACACCAGCATGTCGTTCATGCTGGTCTACCCAGGTGTCTGGAGGTGACACGCCCTGGCTGATCACCCCTGGATTGATAGGAACAACTGAGTCAATACCCGAAACGATAGTCCTGTCAGAATCATGACCTGGGGTACATTTTTTTAATGACACATACACACGAGGATCAGGATTCTCAATAATGGCCTCCTTGGTTTATACCAAGACCGGAGGACTCACACAGACATCCACAAGGAGATGGTACAGGAGGTAAGAGGGAATTAAGTACCAGGGACCTGAAAGAAGGCAGAGACTAGAAAACAGCTATACTGAACTCTTGTATTCAGCCCTGGTTATGGAAGCAGAGACTCCTTAAGCTCTGGAATTAGCAGGTTGAAGATGGCTCCTGCTTGGGAAAATTAAACATAGCTTGTTGCTCCGAGGAAGGCATTGAGAGTGAAAAAAAGAAAAAGGAAATTAGAGAGTCAATGAACATATCTCCTGTGTGAAGCCCTAGAGGTGAGAGTAGATAATTAGCAGCTAAGAGATTTAAATAAGGCCTAGGGAATGTGAGAGACAAGGGTTTTTCCTTCATACAGAAAGAAATGGATTTTAATTAAAAAATGATTAAAGATAATGTCGAGTTCAGTGAAAATAGTCAATACCTAGACTAATATTCATATTCCTTTATCATGGGCTAGAATTTAAAAAATATTTCTCTTCAAAGGTTCATACGCTGTATGTAGGGTTGGTCTTTAGTATAGCCATACAGAGAGGTGATGATGGGGCCTTTAAAAGGTGAGTCCCAGTAGGAGACAATTAGGTCATTGGGGACTTGGCCCCTTTAAGAGATTACTGGGGTCTCCTGGAGTGAGCAAATTGACATACAAGAATAAGTCGAACCCCTCCATAGTCTCTAGTTTCCTTGTCTCTCTGTGTTACTACACTTTACTCACAGAATATTATCTACTATGTCCTAACAAGACCAGAAAGGCCTTACCAGAGACCAAATGGATGGAGTCACCTGACCTTGGACTTTCAATCTTCAAAGTTGAACTATAAACATCTTTTTTTCTTCTTTGAAAAATATATAGGCATTTTGTTATAGCAACAGAAAGTGGACTGAGACAGTCTAGCCCTAGGGACATTTTCTATCATGAAAACCTACAGATGATGCGGTGGGACCACTTTAGTACATGGGAGAAGCTAGCTAGGTACCAGGACATTTCATGGTAGTGGGGATGCTGGTGTCCGATCTTTAGGATTTCCCAGGAGGCTAATAGTCTTCTGAGACAGTAACACACAGTTTATGCAAAGCACGGAGACCTGAGAAAGAATGGCATTGGGAAGCAGTTAGTATGCCCTGGAGGGTTGGGAGACAGGCTCACCACACATAGGAGAGGTTAAGATAGGATAAGAGGGACCCAGATGATGGTGAGGTCTGAAGGTTTCTAAATGAGGGAGATGGTACAAGAACCATTTGCGTTCAAAGAAAATCAATCAGTCGAGCCCTCCAGGGAATATGCCTGGGTTGGCAGGCCTAGATGGGAGCAACTCGGAGTTCCAGCCTAAAGCACTGAGCCTCAACAGAGCTGCAAACCATCTCCAAGCCTGGATCGCAATAACATGGAGACAGATGGGACGGGTAACTGACTAGCAGATGCCTGCTTGCACAATTCGATGGCTCATGGGAGGAGGAGGAGCAGAGACAAGAAGCCCGGGCCTGGGAGCAGGCTTGAGGACCAAGCTTGGTCTGTATGCATTGAGTTAGAATGATGGCAGGTGCAAAGAGTCAGTGTGGGAAGCTAGGGAAATGGTTTATTGTGGAAGCAAGCAGACAAGTTCAAATTCCTGGCAACTACATAGAAGTCGAACATAACTACATGTGCTTGTAACCCCAGTGTTGGGGAGAGGAGACGGGAAATTCTCAGCCAGTCAGAGAGTTTGTCTTTAAAAACAAAGTGGAAAAGTGATAGAGGAAGACACCCAACATGCTCTGTGGCCTCCATATGCACACACATGGGCACCTACACACACACACACACACACACACACACACACACACACCCCAGTGGGCATTTGGGACCAGTGCAATTTCCATCGCGTAGAATACCTACACTTGACAAGCATAGTCACGGACAGTCCCCATCTTAAACCTCTGGTCCATAGGTGGGGCAGGATATGGAGCTAAGACTGTTTCCAAAGTGGCCTCTCCATTGTAGCTATCTACTATGGCTGCCTATTGCTTACACGTGGGCAGCTTTCATAAGGGCTCGCTGGAGGTCCATTCCTAGGGGTTGTGACTCTGATGCAGAGCCACAAACTGGGTTAGAGAAAGAGACACAGGGTTCTTGGTGTGAGTGGCACCATGGAAACAATGGTGTGAGTAAAATCAGGCAGAGAGGAAACCTAGAGAGCCATGGCAGGCCTGAGAGGACAGGTCCATGTGTCAAGGGCAATCTCAAGAGTAAGCATGGCCAGGGTGGGCAATGCCTGAGGACTGGGACAGGTCTGGGGTATCAGCTGGGCTCTGTGAAAACTGATATCCACATTCAGGGAGGGAACTAAATGGAGTCAAGGTTCTCCAACTCTACACAAGAGACTGAGAGAGAAGGGAAGTGTGAGTTAGATCACACTACAGCTCCGGGGGAGGGAGCAGTAAGAGATGGGGGGATATGTACAGGCACATAGATGGATACTTTGTGGGTAAATGCAGGAGAAACTCGTTTTCCCTCTGAGGTGAAGCTAAGGAAAGAGGATGGTGGAACGCGACGGTCACCCTCAGCGTAAGGACCCAGGACACGGAGGAATGGGCTTCCAGAACAGGTGGGAAGATCAGCTTTCAATTACATGAGACACACTAATGTTCTTTGACATCACAGAGAAAGGCTAAGAGTCCCACATGCCCCAAACTGGGGGGTATGAGGTGTTTTGTTTCTATAATGAAGGTGAATGAAGGCTAAAGGCTATGCCCAGAATAAAAGGTTCACTCCCCAAAACAACACATTCACACTGTGAAAGTGGAAGGTGCTTCCTGAATCCTCTACTACAGCCCTTGCTCAAAACCCACATTTACTTCTTCTTCATGTTCCTTTAACTCCAAGCTGTGACTGACTTCACCCTTGCTCTTACTGCCCACACGGACATGGGTTTTGCCTGCTCTTCAGGCCTCAAGTCTTCCTGTTGACATTGGGCCAGTCTGCCTGCACATCTCTCAGTAACTCTACTGCTTCTAGTGGAGATTTGTTCACCCCAGTGTAGACCCTGGGAACCCCCAATCACCCCAACACACTCCTCTGGTAAGCCACTTCAGAACCTCCCTTCTCCCTCTTATATGTGCCTCTACGGAAGGGACACTTAGGGGACAGTTCCCAAGCGAGGCTTAAATAGAAGGCCTTGAATTCTTATACACAAAAGTGGCGTAATGACCTCTTCTTCATGGCAGGGTTGAATGTGTTTATGAAGGGCCAGTGAAAAAAGGGTTGGCTCTGAGATTAGAGCCAGATGGAGTGACAAACAGCAGTTCAGTGGAAGGAGATGGATTGGCTAATGCTCACAGAACCGAGGCTTCCATCTCTACTAGTACTCAGGTTTAGATCTCAGCAACAGAATAAAGGTGCAAAGATCTAAGTTGATATTTAAGAGGTAGGTGTTTGGGTGGAAGCGTCACCCCAGCTCCTGGCATTCATATACCCAAAGAGTCTGGAATGTTTGGGAGGAAGTTCCATCCCAAGCCCGCTCCCCTGGGAGTTGCCTCAGTCCAGACTCCATCTCCAAGAAAGGCCACCAAATAATGACCCATCCCTAGAGATGCTTAAGACCACTCCCACAGGGTATTTAAACTGCCAGCCCGCCCCCACCCAAAACAAACACATGGTTTTCTGGTCTTCCTTCCCCATTTCCTCTTTGAGATGCTAAAAGGCCACCCCGAGCGCTGGTATCCATTAAACCTGGGATTTCCCTAATTTGGTTTGATTTGGTCTGATTTGGATTATTGTGTATTATTATTGTGTATTATTTATCAGGTGCAAAAAGCTTTTCAGTAGGAGCTGGGTATACTCACATTGCTTGGTCCTTCTCAACCTGGGATGCATTTATATGAGAGCAAGAGAGAGCATACTTGTTTTGGCTGATCTTTATAAGTGCACTCCGACGGCAAAATTCCTGTAATCACACCGAAAAAAAGTCATGTCATTGAACCCAAGAAGCCCCCAAGTCATGAACAAGTTTACTCCAGCTCAAGCCATTACCAGAGCTAGTAGTCATTATCCCTTTCTGGGTGCCACTCAAGAGAGCAGGCTAAACTCACATTGCTTTATAATTCTTTGCTGAATAAGTCATTGTTAAGTCCTCGGTCATTCATCTAAATTCTACATCAACTGCCAAGTCTACCCAGGTCAGTCACACATGTACACGAATGCACACACGCATGCACGCATGCACCTTTCTATCTTTGTTTGCAACCTCGGGTATCTTGTTTTTAGATAGCTGTGACCATGACCCTGTTGCTAAAAACCCTGTTTTCCCTTGTGAGGTTTCCCAGAATCTTTATGAGAAGCTTCAATGTCCTTTCCCCTGACTACAGCATTCTGGCCCCCCAGGGACTTCCTGCCCTGAGGGTCAACAACAAAGTCACTCTCTGGAAGCTGAGGCCTTTCTTTAGGGACACCAGACCATCTGCTGTGCATGTCTCCCCGTCCCTGAGCCATGCCTCAGGACATCACTTCACTGTGCCCCCGACTTGCTTTTTCCCCTGTGGATATTCTCAAGCAGCACTATGAGCTGGGGATGCTCATCCACAGTCAGATCATGAGGTGGCAGAGGAAGACAAGGCTGAGAAAGGCCAGGAGATGCCTGTATCTACAGCGCTTGCAGAGGAGCACAGGCAGAAACAGGAGGTCTTTCTCTCTCCTCTCTCTCTCTCTCTCTCTCTCTCTCTCTCTCTCTCTCTCTCACACACACACACACACACACACACACACACACACACAGAGTGGTATTGAGCCTGGGGAGGTGACTGAGTGGGTAAACAGATTGTCATGCAAACATGAGCAGAGTTTGGATCCCTAGGACCCATGTAAAAGCTGAAAAGGCATGGAAGCCCATCTCTGATCCCAGCACTTCAAGGGCAGAGACAGGATCCCTGGCTAGCTAGACTAGCTGAATGGGTGAGTACCAGATTTAGCAACAGACCCAGCCTCGGTAAATAAAGTGGGAGGGTGATGGAGGAATATACTTGGTGGTAACCCTTGGCTTCCAAACATCTGACCATGCATACAGACACATATATACCATGAGAGAGAGAGAGAGAGAGAGAGAGAGAGAGAGAGAGAGAGAAAGAGAGAGAGAAGAGAGAGAGAGAGGAGAGAGAAGAGAGAGAGAGAGAGAGGAGAGAGAAGAGAGAGAGAGGAGAGAGAAGAGAGAGAGAGAGGAGAGAGAAGAGAGAGAGAGAGAGAGAGGAGAGAGAAGAGAGAGAAGAGAGAGAAGAGAGAGAGAGAGAGAGAGGAGAGAGAAGAGAAAGAGAGAAAGAGAGGAGAGAGAGAGAGAGGAGAGAGAGAAGAGAGAGAGAGAGAGGAGAGAGAAGAGAGAGAGAGAGAGGAGAGAGAAGAGAGAGAGAGAGAGAGAGAGGAGAGAGAGAGTAAACCTGTCTAGCTGTCAATTGCAGCTGACAAGGAAAACCAAATGATTCTCCCATATAGAAGCAAGGAGACCACAGTGCTCTCAGCAGGAGCAGGGTCCAGACCACAAGGGATGCATGAGTAGGGGAGTAGACAGCTGTGTTCCCTCAGCTCCCACCCATCGGCCTAACGAGAAGGCAGTTGTCTGGGCGGACACTTACTCTGCGGTTGTTACACTTTAAAACTGTGTAGAATTTCTCTGAAGCCACATCCCGATTTGGAAGTGCTATGACGATGGCGGGGACATAGAACTCAAATCCTTTATTTGTCTTGATTTTGGCAAACACATAATCCCCAAGCTGTAGCAGAAAACACGTTTCACAGCAAATAATTTGTTTACAGAGCTCATACATAATTTAACATAAGCTTGTTTCACAATAACTCCTGATTACTGGCAGGTACTGGCAATAAAATTCTGATATAGAGCTTTAAAAAAAATCAGATAAGAAAGGGTTCCAGAATTCTCTGAGTTTATTGGGCTACACTTGCAATTTTGAAAAACCCAGCTTTGGTAGGAGTTTGGCAATTGACAAGGATCCTGAGACAGTCAGCAAGCTAGCTAGGGTTCTGAAACTCAAAGAAATTGGTAGAAACAATGACTGGGGCTGAAGGAGCATCTAGGGGGGTTGCTATAAAGACATGGGGGCCGTGTCCTCAGTGTTAGAAGGGTGTCTGTCCCCTAGACAAAAGGAAAGCATGGGTTTGGTGATGGTCAGTCTCAGCACAGACGTGGAGTCCACAGGAAAGGTCACCCAGAGGTATAGATGGCTCTGCCAAAGGGCTCAGTGAGGCTGCTGGGTACCTGTCAGTCATCAGGAGAAGGGAATAGGAGGTGTACTATGAGTCTGGCCCAGGAAGTCGGAACAGACCAAGGCTAACCTCTCAGATCCCTCCTTGGCTTGTGCCATGTAAGGAACAGCAGCCCTGAGGCTTTGAAAGGCTTTCCTTTTGTGCCTGGCCCTCTGCCCCATCTTGGTGTCAAGACACGGTGTAGTGCTTCTTCATTTATAATCAGATGAGAACATATTTGTCTGTCTCATTTGTGGAAAGCACACTTGGGGGAACAGGTTGGCGGCGGATGACTGCAGGGTCACAGAAATCCCTAGTTCTGTCTTTGATACATATAAGATAATGCAGTCTTTTGCAGAGAAAGCTTCAGGAGCACTAGGAGCCACACAATTTCCTTCCCCCCTTGTGACAAGTATCACAAGATATTATATAAGCCACTATACACAGTGACCAGCTCCATCAACAGGGACCTGGCAATCAGTCACAGAGAAATTGCCAAGTGATGGGGAAAAGAAACTGGCTGCTGCTCTTCCTGCCCAAACACAGGCTCCCTACAGGAGCCCAAGAACACCACATAGGGACCTCTGCCATCCTCTGTAATTCAAAACCCTGTGGACAGTATAAAGCAGTGGTTCTCAACCTTCCTAATTCTGTGAGCACTTAATATACAGTTCCTCATGCTGTGGTGACCCCCAACCATAAAATTATTTTCATTATTACTTCATAACTGTAATTTTGCAACTGTTATTAATAATATAAATATATATAAATATAAATAAAATAATATAAATATCTGGGTTTTCTGATGGTCTTTGGCAACCCCTGTGAAAGGTTTGTTCACCCCCAAAGGGGCTGTGACCCACAGCTTGAGAACCACTTGTACAAAAGGGTCCCTCCCAGAAGGGACCAGAGAGTAGGTACCTGAAGTTGTGGGCAGGGCGTGGCACCTCCAACTGGTATGATGAAGGAGATGGGCACCACCTTGGTTTCTCCGAACCTGAAGTCTACCAGTGCATGGGTGGAGCTCAAACATTTCTTCGCGACCCCTGGAGGAATCAAGAGAAACACCACCTGATGAAGGCAGCAGGTCTGCTCCACCCTGTGGTCTGTGCTGAGTCACCCCATGTGCCTGTTCAAATCAGCGCACCCCTATGATCCCTGCATGATCTTGAGGCTTGCAGTAACAGCCAGCCAGGCTGAGTGTGCACCAGCGTAGCTCTGACTTCAGGCAATGGGCACCCAGCTCATTACTGCAATGCTGCCTGCTGCTGACAGAATTTAAATCAGACCTTTCCTTGAGGAAAGATTAGGAAGTTTAGAACAACAGCACCAGAAAGATTCACCAATAAGTTGTCTATTAAAACCGATTTGCTTTTTTTTTTTTTTTTTTTTTTTTTTTTTTTTGGTTTTTCGAGACAGGGTTTCTCTGTAGCTTTGGTGCTCGTCCTGGAACTAGCTCTTGTAGACCAGGCTGGCCTCGAACTCCCAGAGATCCGCCTGCCTCTGCCTCCCGAGTGCTGGGATTAAAGGCATGTGCCACCACTGCCCAGATGCTTTTTTTTTTTTAAAGAGACATTGCAAACTCATACCAACCATATGGTCCAAATTACTACTACTAAGAGGACAGATGGATATCATGTGCCTCTGGACAGAATGGCATCTGAGTGACATCACCCAGGTTGTCTTGTAGGAAAGAATGTACATGTTGACTCTGAGCTAAACCAAACTGCGTCAGGCCATCCGCAACTGCCCTTGCTTTTAACATTAGTATCATGAATGTTTACAGAAAAGGTTAAAGCAAAATTCTAGGTTTAGGAGTGTTGTGTGGTGGCTGTGCACACCTTTAAGCCCAGCACTCGGGAGATAGAGGCAGGCAGATCTCTGTGAGTTTGAGGTTAGTCTGGTCTACAAAGCAAGTTCTAAGCCAGCCAGAACTACATAGTGAGACCCTATTTTAAAAAAGAAATCACTAAGGGTTCATGTTTGCCAAATGTAACATGTGGCTCTGGATTCAAATCTGCACTAAAGAAAAAGTGGAAGGCATTGGCAGGCAAGTGACAGAGGCAGAAGCATACGAAGGTGTACGGTGATGTCAGCATTCCTGAAGGCCATGTTTATGGTGGTTCTACTAGGCTAGTGCCTGCCGTTTCGAATAGAGTTGTGATGAGCACTGCCTAACCTCTAACAGTTCAGAAAAGGTGTGTGTGTGTCTGTGTATGTATGTGGGTCTGTGTGTGTGTGTCTGTATGTGTGTGTGTCTGCATGTGTGTATGTATATGTATGTGTGTCTGTGTGTCTTTGTATGTGTGTCTCTATGTGCGTGTGTCTGTGTGTCTCTGTATGTGTGTCTCTTATGTGTGGCTGTCTGTGTATGTATGTAGGTCTCTGTGTATGTGTCTGTGTGTGTGTGTCTCTGCGTGTCTGAGTGTGTCTGTATGTATGTGTGTCTCTGTATGTGTGTCTGTATGTGTGTCTCTGTGTGTGTGTCTCTGTGTGTGTCTGTATATATGTGTGTCTCTGTATGTGTGTCTCTATGTGCGTGTGTCTGTGTGTCTCTGTATGTGTGTCTCTTATGTGTGTCTGTGTATGTATGTAGGTCTTTGTGTATGTGTCTGTGTGTGTGTGTCTCTGCGTGTCTGAGTGTGTCTCTGTATGTGTGTCTCTGTGTGTGTGTCTCCATATATGTGTATCTGAGTGTGTCACTCTGTATGTGTGTCTGTGTGTGTGTCTCTGGGTGTCTCTGTGTGTGTGTCTCTATATATGTGTGTCTGAGTGTGTCTCTCTGTATGTATGTGTGTATGTGTGTGTCTGTCTCTGTGTGTGTCTCTATATATGTGTGTCTGAGTGTGTCTCTCTGTATGTATGTGTCTGTGTGTGTGTCTCTGTGTGTGTCTCTATATATGTGTGTCTGAGTGTGTCTCTCTGTATGTATGTGTGTGTGTGCATAGGAAAGTGAAAATGTGAAAGAGTAAAAGTCTCACAGTATAAAATGTTACAAAATGTATAAATGTGTAACAAAATGATAAAAATTAGTGAATCTGGGTAAAGGGAACTTAAGAATTCTCCATTTTTCTTGTAACTTTTTGACGGTTTATTTATTTATAGAAAAACGGACTCTAGAGGGGAAGTCACAGGCTCTTCAATTTTTTTTTTTTTTCGAGACAGGGTTTCTCTGTGGTTTTGGAGCCTGTCCTGGATAACTAGCTCTTGTAGACCCAGGCTGGTCTCGAACTCACAGAGATCCGCCTGCCTCTGCCTCCCGAGTGCTGGGATTAAAAGCGTGCGCCACCACCGCCCGGCTCAGGTTCTTCGATTTTAAAAAGATCCGTTGACTCTGAAGGGTGGAAAGGCACAGAGTCCGTGATCTCCAGCTCTCCTGAGCACTGCGCTTGTTTGTGTGGGTGAGTGCCGGCGCACACATGCCTTGGTGCATGTGGAGAGGTCTGAGGGCACCCTCAGGAGCTCTTCTCCTTATCCCTTGCAAACTCCTCTCCCTGGACAGGGCGGGCTGTTAGCAAACCCTTGCCACTTGTTTAGCATACTACCTACACTTGTGAGTTCATCCACCAGGCTGTGACCTCAACTCCAAGCGCTAACAATGTGCACCCCTTATCCCTTATTGGAGAGCCTCTTGCTCACCACCATCCACGCTAGGGGAGCTGCGCCATGAGCTTCTCCTCTGTCTCCTATCTCCCTGTGGGAGTGCCGGCATTCCAGATGGGCACTGTTGCGACTGACTTAGTAGCAGTTCTGGGGACCTCAAGTCAGGTCCCCACGCTTGCACGGCACGTGCTTTACCCACCGACCAGCCCCACAGACTGACATCAAATTTGGTGGTGTTAATGTTTACTGACAAGCCACAGATCAAAATGACTGGTTCTGTAACTCAATTCAAATGTTTACTTCCTCCACATCAACATATTTGAATTCAATAACAGCTGCAACAAATTTAAATGTTTCTGTCAGGCAGCTCACATGCAGTTATGAGGATGCTTACTGGCTCCGATGACATGCTTAAGAACAAAATGCCATATGGTCTCAGGGACTTTAGGTGTCTGTGACGTTAACCCTGTTTCTCTGCTCCCCCAGCCTGGACACACACAGCAGTGATGCTGGGAAGTCTGAGCCGTTCTTCATCTTCCTAGAGTCCTGGCCAGCCATCAAACCCTACTCTATAAGCCACCCATCTGGAATGCAGTCCTTTGTACGCTCCACTTGAACGGCAGATTCACTTAGGATCCTCTCCATGGCTTAACTTCAGAAAGTCACGATGCCTCCCCAGAAGGGGCCTCCTGTGACCCCCTCCCAGCCCCAAGCAAGGGGAGCTTCCCACCCCCACCCGGCCCACTGATCCGGCACTGCACTTTCATGCTTTGCCTGTGAGCTATTTCAGAGCTTGGCTCTATTTCCTTCCGTCCAATCAACTCCAAGTTCATTTTCCAGATTTCAAAGAAGACATCTTACTTAGTCCATAGTTCTAGTCACATGCTGACTGGAAGCCAAATGCTTTGCTGAATTCACTTCTACATGGTACAGAGATTATTTAATTACATTTGATGAATGGCAAGGCTTCTGCATTTTAATTGGCTGTTCCTTCCAGGCTTCTCCAGGGTCATCTTTCGCCTGCTCACCCTTCCAATGTTTCAGTGGCACTCCTTGCATTGTTTCCAGAAGCTCTGTCTCCAGAGTCCCTTTCCAGACTCGAGACTCCAGAGGCTTCTCTGACGTGTTTTGCTGGGCATCTCGCAGGCACCCTCAGCGCATATTCTAAGCACATACCCCTGACTTTCCATCCAGGCTGCAGGGTCCTCTCTCCAGCCCCTCTCCCGGCTTTAAATGTGACTTTCTGATGCCCTGAGAGCAAAGTGCGAACTGCTCAGAAGTGCCTGCTGTGAGCGACCCCAGGCTTACTGACTTGGAAAGCTCTTGTGCTGGCTAGTTTTACGTCAACTTGACACAAGCTAGAGGAACTATCTGAGACGAGGGAACCTCTACTGAGAAAATGCCTCCATAGGATCAGGCTGTAGGCATTTTCTTCATTAGTGATTGATGTGGGAGGGCCCAGTTCATTGTGGGTGTGGGTACTATAAGAAAGCAGGGTGAACAAGCCAAGAAGAGCAAGCCAGTAAGGAGCATTCTTCTGTGGCCTCTGCATCAGCTCCTGCTTCCAGGTTCCTATCCTGTTTGAGTTTCTGTCCTGACTTCCTTAAACCATGAACAGTGATATATAAGTGTGAGTCAAATAAACCCTTTCCTCTCCAACTTGCTTTGGCCATGGTGTTTCATCACAGCAACAGTAACCCTAACAGCTTTATTATTTCTCACTGCTCCCTGGTGTTCCTGGTGCTGGCCAGAGTTGCTTTTCTATCTCCAGACACAGTATCTTTACTCCCTAGCTCTTGCCAGGTATTATTTCCGCTGTCTACAAAACCCTTTTCACGCCTCCATTTCCCGCTGAGTGTATCCAGCTGGTTCCTTTAGGAATCACATCTCGCAGGATGTCTTGGGAACATCTCTCCAGTCAACTATGCTAGTCTGCTTCCCCTGAAATGTGTCTCTTGCATTCCAGCCTTGAGTCTTTCTCCCAGATAATCTAATGGTGGCAGCTCCATTCTCTATGTCCTTTTCATGTCATTTTCCTCAGGAGCCTTTCCGTAAGCACTGTATTTAGAATTGCAACCTTCTCCATGACACAGCTCTCTTTGTGGCTTGGCTTTTCCCTTATGGTACTATATCTAACATGTTAAGTATTTTTATTGTTTATCTGGTGGCGCCCATGTGTCCCTTGGTAAGAAACAACATCCCTGAAGACAAGAATATCCATGTATCTGTTCACCATAGTACTTCCAGGGCTGGTGAGGTAGCTCGGGAGGTTGAGGTGCTTGTGACCAAGCCCGATGACCTGAGTTTGAAACCCGGAACCCATATGGTAGAAGCAAGAAACCGATTGTTGCAAGTTGTTCTCTGACTCCTTCCCGACACACACATGCCGTGGCACATATGTCTACCCCTCCCCCACAAATAAAATAAATAAATGTGGATTAGCATGTTCAGAATATTATACACATATGCAACACAGTAGGTTGTAACAGAAATGTGTTCTCTATACAAAGGAGAAATTAAAAGAAATGTTATTTTCTACTACTCTTTTGCCCCACCTATGAGAAAGAACTATTTTTTGCTTGAGAAGCAGAATATCTTTAGTCAAGTGCATGAAACGTCAGTGTTCTAGGGAAAGTTCGGGTTGAGCCCTCCTCTCCCCAGTATCAGGTTGCTTAGCAAACGAGTCTGAAAAATGTACCTGGAAAATAGAAGCCATTCTCCTCACATCTGGCAATGACCTTCTGGCCTTTGAGGGGATCTACTTTCCTTGATTTGGTTTTCTTTGTTGGACACCCTTGTGATTTCTGCTGCTGAAAAAGACCAACAGCAGGAAGTGATGAGCAAAAGGCAGTGCAGACAGTATTGACTAGAGGGAGCCCGGTAGCCACCACTGCTCATCGTATGTACCACATGCTCATCTAGACATCGCTGTCCAGCATTAACTGGCTACCCTTCCCACATGGGTAACTTTGGGGCTCTATCTTTCTGTCTCTCTGTAGTAATAGGAGCGGCGGGCTGTGTCCCGCCACCCGGCTAGCTTTACCTGAAATAATTACATGAAAACTGTATTCTTTTAAACACTGCCTGGCCCATTAGTTCCAGCCTCTTATTGGCTAGCTCTTACATATTGATCTAACCCATACTAATAATCTGTGTAGCCCACGAGGTGGCTTACCAGGGAAGATCTTAACCTGCAGCTGTGTCGGGTGGGAGAATCATGGCAACTCACTGACTCAGCTTCTTTCTCCCAGCATTCTGTTCTGTTTACTCTGCCTACCTAATTTTATGTCCTATTAAAGGGCCAAGGCAGTCTCTTTATTTAACCAATGAAATTAACACAAAACAGCAGACTCCCACATCATCTCTTGCTCTCTCTATATATATTATTAGTATTTCACTCTAAACTAAAATTTATTTATATATTTTATATAATTATATATTATATAATCATATATAATGATATGCATGTATTTTATATAATATATAATTTATGTAATACATATAGTTTCTCTTTTCATCAAATAGTTATCCAATTTCTTCAATCTAAACTAAATTATATATGTTTTATTATATGTTATATATAATTACACATCATATATAATTACATATTATATAAATGCAAATGTTATGTGTGATATATACATATCATATATAATTATATATTATGTAGATGTTACCTATTGTTACAGATATATAATTATATGTATAATAATTATATATATATAGCATATAATAAGATATATATAATTTAGTTTAGAGTGAAAGAATTGAACAACTAATTGAAGAAAAGGGAAACTTTTCAAAAACTGTACATACAACTAGAATTCCTAAGATTCTAGATGGCGTCACGGCTGGATGCAGACCACTTGAGAACCATGGTCCAAGCTGCTGCCTTCCCAGAACTATGAGGAGATTCTGCTTTCAACAGAGAAGTCAACCACAGCCAACATCTCTGAGAGGCAAGTGTGAAAACACAGGGGTTTACAGAAACACAGAGGCCTACCCCACCCCTCCATGGCAATGACAAACCCTTAGAAACGCTACCTCACAGAAAAGAAATGCATGGGCTATGGACTGATTGTCCAAGCCCTCACTTCCCCTGCTGGGCAAACCATCCTACTAGAAGGGAATGGGCCACCCTTTTCCAAGTTCTGGAAGAAAACCCCAATCTAGAATTCTAAATACCAGAAAGCCATAAATCAAATCAAAGGGCAGCTTACACTTACAATCATCTCCTTAAGTAGAAGCATCTCCCTTCAGTTCATCCTGGCTTAGGAAGCTACTCGGAAATGTACTCCAGCAAAAAGAAGGAGCAAAGCAAGTAAGAGCACCAAGAAACTCTAGGAGGCAGGTTCAGTCCAAGAGCAGGGAGAGAAATCTCCAGGGAATAGCTGTGTGCAGTCAGACCAGCAGGAAATCTTGGGGGTGGAGGGTAAGGACATAGGAATCCTGGAAATACATACAGATATGCATACATACACACATATGTAAACCTAAAGCATATAAAAATCATTTAAATACAGACAAAAGTGTAGCCTACAAATGGCCTCTGGAGGATGAGTCTGGACCAGGACACAGACACCACATCTCTGCGTGCTGCCTGCCTGGTTGAATGATTGGGCAGCATCTTTTGACCTTGCTAGAAAACTACATGCTCTCAGCCATCCTTTAGCTTTCTGTTTCTGTCTGGAAAGATCTGCTTCTGCACTCTAGGAGACAGCTAAGCCTCATGTGTACCAGGACATGGATACCAATGTGTTGCTCATATTTTCAGTGCCAGAACTGAGAATATGAGTTCTATAGATTTCTCAGCCAAAATATCTTGCAGGCAAAATTGACTGTAAGCATCCTTGTAGAATATTCCAGTCACTAGGAAAACTGAGAGTCAAATCAGTGATGGCTTAAAAAAAACAAAAAACAAACTCCACTTTGATATAAAGTCTCTGTGCTTCTTGACACCCATGTTCACATCCAAGACCAAGTTGGCTGCCGGGGAGTCTGCCTGCCTCTGGACAGACCACAGACTGCTATTCCAAAGCCACGTGTGCACAGCAGTTCCAGAGAGGCTGTTGTGGCAAGTTGCTCATGAGAACCCATGTCTGAAGTCTTCAGGCTCACAGTTAGACTATCAACATTCATTTAACTCGATTCTTTTTACCTTTGGATCCCAAGCTCTTATTGTTCCAAGCAGAAGGCCATGGATTAATTTTTCTTTTATGTTTTTAAAATGCATTCAGAGTACAGATCTATGAAATCAGTTGCCTAAAATACCAAGTTCTTTTCTCTTTTTTTGCCCCATTGTAATTCTTCCCTTGTCAGTTCATCTGATGTGCATCAGCCTTTAACTCTATGGAGATCTTCCTCCACATGGGTGGCAACAACGGGTGGCCACAGTGGAGAGAGTGCTGACTGTCACTTTAAATGCCACAAAGGCCTTTCCAAATAGCTGAGAGTATTGTTCCCTTCAAACCATCCAGAGACATGACTAACACTGAAGTACCAGTGATTCCCATTTACTCTTCAGGTTTCCAACTGCTCCTGCCATTGGCAAGCATTCCTTTCTAGTCGATTCCACAGCATGTAATTTTATGGAAAGGGCACTCACATGGCTTCTTCGGTGGTATTTTTGTACCTCAGCATGACAGACGAGACTCACAGACAAAGCTGAGTCATCAAGGAAAAGCACATCTCAAGGGCCTGCATCAAAACGACAAGTTGTGCCTCACAAGCAAAACATGGGCATCCCAGGGTGGAAAGACAGATAGATCATCAGGGCTGTTAGACAAGCTGTCCCTGCAGCCGGAATTTTGACAACTTTTCCCCCAAACTTGATAGCCAATGTTTTTGAGCTGTGCTGACGGCTTTAGAGATGCTGCATGGTCCACGACAAAGAACACCTTAGCCTATCTCTTTCTTGCCTCAGCTCACCTAGGTACACGCTCAAAATACAAACCAAATACTGACTTCTACAAAGACATCCACAGGATGCAACGATTGGAAGAAACAGAGAGAGCAGAAAATACTGGACGGTGTAACTCCAAGTTTAAGCTTAGGCCCCAAAGAAGAGTGGCTACAAGGTCCGCAGAGGAAGTCAGAAGAGCAATGGCCACAGAGAAAAGCTTCAGCCTTGCCTTCAAAATCCAGTGAACTCCTTGATTTATTTTTCCAGATTCAGTCACCAGGTGATGTATGCCAAGATCCCAAGAGATGCCACCCTCCTACCATGCCATGGCTTCTTTCCAGTTCGTGTTCTTGGGATTAGATTGGTAGGAAGAGCACGGTTCCTAGATATTCAGTGCTTTTCACTTTCCCATTCAGTAACAGCATGCATCTGCAGCAGCTGTAGCCACATGCCTACAGTTTAACTACAACTAATCTCCACTTCAAAATTATGCAAAACAACTATCCCTAAATGTTTCTGTTCTCTGAAATCCCCGAACTCTACCATACAGAACCCCCAAATCGCTCCAGCAGCACCCCTAGTTTGCTTAGTAACCCCTGCCATGTCCTTCGGTCAAGGAGGTCTGTGACTGCTATGATTAAGATAATTCATGGCAGGACAGAGTGCTCTGACCTTTCTCTCTAGGGGTCCCAATTATGAGGCCAGAAATTTTGCAAACTGTCTTTATGAATAATATTACTCCATTCAGAGGCTTGGTGAACGGGACAGAGCCAGTGTGACGTGTTCTCTGCCTCCCTCCTTTCCAACCCTAAAGACATCCAAGGTCTTTACTCCTTTAAAAATGGGCTCTGAAGAGAGAATGAGGGAAAAATGTGGAGAAAATGTAGGAGAAGAGGCGGTAACTCCTGACCAGATCTGGGAGTCTACTGATGGTATCCGTGGTGTGTTTGTCTCAGCGTGATTCCTCTCTCTGTAAACTCATGGTTTTAACAGAGGGTAGATAGTGCGTCAAAGAATGAGCTCTAAGCAGGGTTTCCTTAGTCCTGGAGAGGAGGTCAAGTCTTTTTGCAAAGGTTGTCTCCAAACAGCAAGTTTGCCATCCTGCTCAAGAGGGACTTTTGTCCCTACCCCTTTCAGTAGCTGTGAGTACTTAGCTTGGCTTTTCAAAACCAGAGGGAGGTGGGGGGGTTGTCTCTAAAAGAGTTGTCTTCTCTCCTCCTTGGGGAAGGGGATACCTTGAGGAAATAGCATGAGAAACGAAGGTCCCCTAAACCTTCCAGCAGCTTCTACTTCCCTTTGGGGTGTTGTTTTCTGAGCAGATCATACACAGGGAGTTGACTGGTCTTTTGCACATTCCAGTTAGTGACACATTGTGAACAGCTACTATGATGCTTAGGAAAATGTTATAGGGATGAATCCCTAAAGAAGACGACTGGCCATCCCCTCCCTGGCACTGGGGACAGCTCTGGGCTCTGGAGGAGATAATCTCTGAAGGCAAGACTTCCAGCCCACTGCTCTTAGCAACTTCAAGGGCTATCATGAAAAATAACCACACCTGTTTGCTTATTAAAGGGAAAAAGTACAGAAAGGAAAACCCCAAATGTCTTAAGTATTGAGCGCTGAAAGTCACTGGCGCTTGGGGACCTGCCACATGGATGTTATTTACACTCCTTTTGTGCCATTGCCTGGCATGGCCCAACACCAGTTTCCTGTTTGATGTATGTTTCTCATGTAACTCCATGGTACACAAATAAACTCTAGGTCTTTAGAAAAACCTCCCAAGACATCTGCGTCTCTGGGCTAGTCTCCCTCCACCCACTCACCCCCTACACACACTCTCTGTTCCTCTCTAAGGGCCCTGCTCTGTGTACCCAGACACGGCTCACCAGGGACCAGACCCTGTTTCTCTTACTGGCTCTGGAGCAGCAGACTACGGGAGGTAATGACTGCAAACAGAAAGGAAAAGGAGAGAAAAATCAGGGCAGCAGTCTCCCTATTGTTGGTTTCTATGGTTTCCACCATCCCTTGCTGTTGCTGGGCTCTAGGTTTGCCATTCTTTCCTGTGGCTGACCCTGACGTCCCTCACCTGAATACAGCCCTTGCACTGATGCTCCTCTGCATCACTGACTAAATGGATTGTTTCGTTCCCTGCCTGGGTTCCACTGATAATGCTTTCCACACTCAGTGCTCGTACTCCGGATAAGTGGGTAAAAACCATTCCCAGACCGGTTTATGGTGCTTGGGTGGCATCTGTGGCAGAACACAAAGAGCGCCTTGGCGGCGGGAGAGTGCTGGGGTCCATCCAGTAAGAATCTTCAGTGAAGCCTTTAGTGACAACGTGGATGTGGCTTTTGCCACCTTAGGGATCCTCGAAGTTGACATCTTACTCCGGAACAAGATACCAGGCAGAGGATTTCTTCTGGTCAATGGCCTTTGTGGTGTGTGTATGCACATGTGTGTGTGCACGCACATTTATGTGTGTCTGTTCCTCCTCCTTTGATTTCTTCCAGTGACAGGAGTTCCTGGGCAGCATACTCTGCTAGGAACTCTAGCTGCTGTGGTCACTCCAGTGCTGGCCGCGTGTCCTCTTTGTTACCCTCTCTCACCCACCCTTCCACCCCTCACTCTGTCGGTCTGAGATTCTTGCTCATTTAGGTCATCACACCTATGCATGTTTCAGATCCTAGCTTGGATCTGCACTGCACTGCGGTCTGGGGATAATGTGGCTGGTTTTCACATCTAATTTTTTCTCAGATGACGATGTCATTATTTCATAGCCCAGACATGTGTCCTCCCATCTTTCCATGAGAGGTCTTATACTATCAGAGAATGTTCACAGCACTAGGGAACCAGCGTTCCATCAGATCCAGATGCTAGCATAGCAGACAGATGTTTTCACGATGGCACAACAAAGGCTCACAAGCAGAGTTAAGGTGTGATGCCTCTTACCCTCTTTAAGAGGGAATCTGAAAACTGTAGACAAAATGGGTTGTCATGCACAAAAAGCAATTGGTACAGTTACTATATGGGAACAAAGACACTATGCATAGTCTGGCTTCACTTTATACAATTCAAAGATGCTTTCTTCTAGGTCTTCATACCCAGCATACCTCTGACACACAGTGTCCAAGTCACCACCTGGCGTAAGGTCTTAGGTTCAAATGGTCTCTCCCCCAGTTGTACTTTACCCAACTCACTCACACCTCTTTCCTTTGTGAGTTTTCCTCACACTCTACCCTGGAAAGTTTTTCCTAAAGTAGCACACCAAATTCATCATTCATAAAATCCATGGGCTCCAGATTCCTCATTCGCCATGCCTTTGAGAAGCAAACACATGTCGCCAGCTGTGTGGCTACTTCCCCGAGGCTTTGTCCAGAGTGTTGATGACAGGTTCTCAGAGCTTTAAAAAGATTTCACGCTGCCGAATCGCCCCAGGTGGTCAAGGCCACGGGGATAAAGAGAGCTTTAGATCTTTCTAGCTGTGGATTCTGTAGGATTTGCTATGGGAACAATCTGCATTTCTTAGGAAAATGCTCAGAACTGTGCATCTGAGCTTTCCTAGACCAGGCTCCCACGGAGCCCCCAGAAAGTCAGTGATCGTTCCCTGATGCCCTTCACAGCCCAGCTTTGGGGCTGCAGGCTTAGCAAGGGAGAGTGAAATCTGTAATTACGGCAATAAGATGGTGCTGGGGAGAGGAGTTTTAAGCTTTTCAGACTTAAGGTTTCTCATTATATGGTCAGCGAGACAAGCTGGGGATGTCATAAAACTGGTGGATTATGGATCGCAGGGGAAATCGTTAAGCACTCAAGCACAGAGTATGCAGGATGCTTGCAGATCAGTAAGAATGGTGGTTTTCAGCTTACAGTCATCCATCCATCCATCCATCCATCCATCCATCCATCATCTGCTGCCATCCAGACGGTCAGGGGAAGTCCGAAGGTGAAGAGCAAGACCAGACTCCCTGATCATAGTGTTTGTAGCTCATCTCCTTCCCTTACCATCAGAAAGTCATGATGCTGCCCCAAAATCAGGAGCCAAGGGACAGCTACAGTGAATGACAATGCCATTGCAGCAGAGGGTAGGGAAAAGCCGTGGGTCTCCAAACTCGACCACGCACTCTAGCTGGACCAAGCAGAGTGACCTCAAATATCGGATACACATAAACATTTCTCATAGATCCATGGGAGGGAACTTTGACCATTATTGTGACACATTAAATTCAGGGGTCTTAGGAGTTGAAAGTTCTTCTCTAACTTATAATCATTGTTCCAAGTCATTGCCCTTTGCTAAAAGAATCTAAAAGAAGACTATGCATATGTATGAAGAGGTTGGAATGAGAAAATCCATTACTGGGATCCAATAATTCTCTCTCTCCCCCATCCAAATGAGAGCAGGATTTAGTGTGTTCTAGGCACGGCTGGCATCTACCATCACACCTAGCACTTTGGGGATGCTCATAAATATTTTAGATAGTAAACAAAGGGACGAGAAGGCAGGAAGAGGTAGATAAAGAACATTCTCAGGGGAAAGTAGGGAGTTCATGTTTGGTCCTCTGGATTCTTAGGCGTCCTTTGACACCCGCCAGTCAACAGAGAAATGCTGGTAGCCAGAGGGAGCCTTACCAGGATGCAGTGGATGCTTCCGAGGAAGTCTCTTTGAACAACAGGAATAGATGCCTAACGCTTCATGATACCATTTTTTTTTTTCCTGCACAAAAGGTACAGCTTCTCACAGTAAAGGGAAAGTGCGATTTGTGGAGTAAAAAAAAAAAAAAAAAAGAACGAAGGAAAACAATAAAAGCAAAGGGACCGGAGAGATGGTGCAGCAGCTGAGAGTATATATTGCTTTGGCAGAAGACCTGCGTTCAGTACCCAGCATCCGTGTTGGGTACCACACGCACATGTAGAAACCCACATGCAGATGCACATGAATAAGAGTGATTCAAAGCAAAAGCGAGACTCTAAAAAATTGGCTATGGGAATTAAGGCCAGGCAAACCCTGCCTCATTTGACAGATCCTGAAATTAACAAAGAAATCCTGCATGACAGTTGTCCCGGAATGGTTTTCAGACCTTTGTTTGATGGCTATATGGAAGCTGTCTAGGATTCTGGATGGACTAAGCCCACATCTACAAGCACCTGCACGCAGTCAGAAAGGAGCACTGTATTCCAGCACCAGCGAGCATGTTCTGTGGTCCACAAATGCCACTCCTAAGGCAGGATGCTCACAAAATAACTGTACGCACCATGGGATTCACAAGAGCGTGAGAAAGAGGCAAAAACAACCAAAAGAGGCAAAAACCCAACAAACCAGAAGGAGACAGTTCAGAGTTAAATACATCCTGTATATATCCACCAAGGTGTCGGTCTGAAGAGTCAGCGAAAGCACAGAGACTATATGAGATAATGCTAAGTTCAAGGCAGACTATAAAATACTAAAGACTCCCTAAGTATAAAAAAGAGAAAAGATTTATCTGAGGAGAAAAAAGGGCCAACAGGAAACACTCCAAATGGCGCTAGCTGGGCAGCAAGATGATGAGCCGGTTTCTTTTTAGGTTTGTTTTCTTAATGTAAAAACAGATGCCAGTTTTGTGGGCTTTCAATACTAAAAACATAAATACCCTTTTTATCTAATAGCAATCCACTGGGCTTTAATACTCTTATTATAGATATAAAAATATGAATGTTGAAGGAAATGTGAAAACCTATCCAAGACAGCATCAAGATTAAGTAGTTAAAAAAAAAAACTCAGGCGAGTACTCTGTCTGGTTTGGATCAGAGTCTGGGCACCTCATCAGGACAAAACGCTACTTTTCAATGTTGTGTCTCAACTCAAAGATCCCTTATTCTAAAACTAAGATTAGTTAAAAGCAAATAGTATTTCCTTCTTCTCTCTTATAAAATCAGTATGTGGCGGGTGGGAGAAAGAGGAGGCCCAGGCAGGGAAAGTAATGGTGAGAGCAGGGAGGGTGGGGTACAGAGAACTCCGGGACCCACCTCCTCCAGGGTCTTGTTCATGCAGTTCTTCCTGGCAGCCTCCTGGAGCTCCATCGCCTGCTGGATGTACATTTTCCCAGCCAATATTTCCTTTTCCAGCAGCGACAGCTCTTTCAAGGAAATGGGCCAATTCAGGCGCTCCAGGGCTTTGTTTAAAACTGCCTTGTTTTCCAAGTATTGTAGGGGCTTGATGGCGTCCAACCTGAGAAACAAAGAGAGAAGGCAACAGAAATGAAAAGATAAGCAGAAGAAGAGAAAAATGTATTCAGTTTCCTTATAAATCTCCTTAGACTCATCTGTTGACATGGACATCAGAAGTCCACCTCTCCAGCCCCCAAAGGTCCCACTTTTCAAGATTAGTTATAATTAGAAATAGTCCTTAGAATGGATGAAAAAACAAGCCTGGGCATTGTATGAAGCCATGTTGCTATATGACGGGGGTCCCTCAATTACATCAGCTGGTGATACGGCCATCTTAGATTATGTTCACATGGGGGGGGGTTGGCCAACTGCCTACTGACCCATTTATCAGTTTGTACAGCTGGAGGTAAGTAATTATCACTCCCGGTGGTTTGTTTTGTTGTTATTGTTGTTTGGTTTTGTTCTTTGAGTCCAAAATCTTCTTATGTAGCCCAGGCTGGTCTCAAACCCATGAGTCTCCCCACCACTAGGATTATGGGCAATCGCCATCACGCCCATCCAGCAGCCAATGGTGAGGACACGGGGAAGTGAGAACGGGAATGCTCGTGCCGAGATGGTGGGACTGTGAAGTAGTGTGGCTGCTGGCAGCAAGCCTGGAGCTTTCGCAAAAACTGAGCAAGAATTACAGTGTGATAAACCTATATATGCTAGAGGAATAAAAGTGTGTTCATAGAGAAATGTCCGCTCACGTGAGCACAGTGGCGTTCTTCATAACAGCCAAAAAAAGCGGGAACTGAAAGGTTCATCAGTGGGAGTAGATAATCAGTGGTGTGTGTGTGCGCGTGCATACGTATGCGTGTGTGTAAAAGATAACTTCCTTAGTGCATGCATATATGTATACATGTGCATATATGCTACAACTTTAATGGGCTTTGGAAATATTAGAGTTATTAAATATTAACTATTAAGTACTAGAAGACAGAAACAATGCCACGTGTGTTCTTTCTTTCACACGATATATCATATGAGAGGTTCACAGAAACAGAACAGACTGGAGTTAGCGGAGGCTGGAGAAGAGAGCGAAGGGGAACACCTGCTTCATGGGTATGTAGAAGTCTTTTTCTGGGGTGGTGAATGTTTGGGGGGTTACACACTCTAAACACCACTGGACCCCATGCTTTAAAACGGCTAGCTTTGATTACATTAATTTCACTGGCATTTCGAAACTGAGGTGGAATGGAATGACTTACTTATTTTTTTCCTCTTGGGACAGTGCTTGCCAGACGATTTTATTTAAGCGTCTGTTAAAAAAAATATAATAACAACAATTTAGGAGCAATAACTCGTTTTAAGTAAAAAAAAAAAATTAGTTGACCTCAGGCTCTGAGAGGGATGACAAAGGAAAGCCCAAGCCAGCTGCCAACCATTATTGGAACGCACCCCTGTCATCCACTTAAAGAGACTGCATAGACACATCTCCTCCCTAAGTAAGCATCACCGAGGAAGCCTGGTGACTGGGTGGGAGTTGTGTCAAACACTAAGGAAATCTTTGCTCTCAAGTAAAAGCTGCAAGCAAGCTGGTTCTTTCCATCTTTGCATTAAGAAGTTTCTCAGTGGTCGGCAAGATGGTACAGCCGAAAAGGAAGCTTGCTGCCAAATTTGATTTCCCAGGACTCACGTGGTGGAAAATAAAAGCCACCTCCCTCAAGTTGTCTTCCACACATGCATTGTGTGTTATGATACACACACACACATACACACACACACACACACACACACACATACTCATGCATGCACACACTATTAATGCACTACAAATTACATTTAAAAAATAATTTAGGTGCTACAATTTTCTTTCTAAGGCAAATGTAAGCACTCTTAGCTTGCCTTCTGCAGACACTCTTCTGCCTGGATTCTGAGAGCAAAGGGGAGCTAACGGGACCATAAGCCGCACATTCAGAACCCGTGCAGTCTAACCACCTTGTCTTCTGGGTGGCAGCGCAAAGATGGGCACACAAAACACCTCAAGCATCCACCTGGCTAGCTGCCAGTGGGGGGACTGAAGCCCCTCACTGACCATAGCCTCACAGGGAAGCCACCTGACTGAGAGGAAAGGGAGATGAAGTACTGGCTCCTTTCCTTGTACCCAATCAATGATGCTCCTTTCAGTGGACCCAGCCCATTCTGTGACACTATGACATCACCTCAGGCTTTGTGGACAGCAGGGGACAGAACACTGACTCCAAAGCTTGTGGAGTAGGGAACATTGCCTTCCACAGGAAGTGCTCCTCTGACCACTGAGGCCAGTTGGCACTAGCACAGTATGCAGAGAATACGCTTGGGGTGGACATGGGCCTGGAGGGGCTGGGAAGGCAAGACAAGGATGGCTCATATGGGAGAAGAGCCATAGCACTGGGGCCAAGACCTCCCATTCCCGGCTTAGACTTTGGACTAGAATGGAGTCAACTTTTCTGTCAACTCAGGTTGACAAGAGAATCCCCGCCCCTGGTGCAGCCATGAGGACTCTGCAAAGACTTATGTGCATAGCATATATATTGTGTCTGGCATTGGCAAAGAAGTGATGGCAAAAAGTCAGGAAGAATGGGGCTAGAGAGGTAGCTCAGCCATTAAGAGCATTTGTTGCTCCTACAAAGGACCGCAGCTCTGTTCCCAGCCTCCACATGGTGGCTCACAACCATCCATAGCTTCATTTCCATAGAGTCTGATGCCTTCTTCTTGCCTCCACGGGCACCAGGCATACACATACACACATATTCAGGCAAAGCACTCAGAAAACAAAATAAAACAAATGGGTCTCAACCACCATGATCCATGAAGAAAGAAGTAGGCTAGCTCGAGCTTTAGTCTTTCTCGAAGGTTTAGGACCTTTGGGTTCCATTAGGAAATTAGGTTTCTTTAGTCACTTGGCTCTTGTAACAATGATCAGGGCTTCTAAGACTGTTTGGTTTTCTGTGCTTTTCTAAAAATATCTCCAACACTCTCTTCAATCAGACTTGAAAGCAAACTCAGTGTAGTGCGGAAGCTGGGCGGGCAGAAGAGGGCTTCAGCACAACACAGACCTGGGGTCAAGCTTAGCCCCCAGCTCCACCTGGCTGCCATGTGATCCTGTTGGGCAGAATCCTTTGAAGTGCTGCTTTCTCAGGGATAAAAACAAGGATAGCGGCATCCATCCGTGCCTTTGAGAGGACAAAGAAGAAATGTTTGTGAAGTACCAGGAGTACCTCAATGTTCCTCTCCTCTGGATGGATCAAAAGAAGGGTGAGCCTAGAGACACGGAGAGGCCAGCGGTAGAGCAGGATTACTGGGTCCAGTTAGCTAGCCTGAATTGAATTTGAACTCAATACTTTAGAAAATATTTCCCAGGGGCACATATTCAGAACATGTGTGCCCCCCCTTGTCCATATGTTTTGCAACATTTCAATGCTTTATTGAGTTGGTAGAGTGATTATGGCAAAGCCACCAAGAGTATAGGATGACCATTCTTCTGAGGCACCTGGAGGCCATTGAATGTGAGGGTCTTTCTGAAACTGGTCCAGCCCCCGAGTCCTGGCTGCTGGTTTGCATCCCTTGGATTGCTGTAGCTCTAGCTGTAGCAAGAAATGACTTGCCTACAATGCAAAGTTTAACTATTGGCACATCATAAACCTGGCCAGCAAGAAAGAGTAGACCTTAAACAGAGTCATCGAAGCCTGGCCCCAGAGCCAGACTAGAACTGAGATTTCTCCTGTGGATTTGAGGACTGGGATCTTGACTTTGGCGATCAAAAAAAGCTGCAAGAAAAACGCTGCCTCTGTATATGAGCAGCCCTAGAAACATCCAAGCTTTTGTTCAGACACACAGAGCTCAGACTCTCGAAATCCTGGAACTGAAGGACACCCACCCACGGACACTGTGTCAAAAATAGCTCTTCTTTATATACCATCCTGTGAACTTCTATTTGCTTGGTCATCGCTAGCTTGAGTGGACTTATGGATGTATAAAATCATTTATTTTCAAAGTGATGATGGCTTACTTTGGAGTAAAAACATCATAGAGATGTGGCAGCGGATGCGGGACAGGATACGTGCCTGTCACTCATCCTTTGCACACCATGAGAAAGATGCACATGGGAAAACACAAAAAAAGGGAACTGGCATTTATAAAAACAAAATTCTTCAGTACTACTGAATTCAAAGGCTCAGTCCTGTATAATATTGCTATTATTAATACTACTGGACATAATATTAAATAATTTAACATACACACCAAGACAATAAACCCAGTATTAGTTAAATGAATAAAAAATATTAAACATCAACTATACTAAAGCTAATGTCATTAATGTAAAGATTATTATTACTGAAAGTACAAGTTGAAGATCTCTTATCCATAAATGTTTGGGATTTTAGATTTTGAACTATATTTGCATGTACATACGTAACGAAATATCTTATGGATGGGACCCAAATCCAAACACAAAATTTGCTTAGCTTTCCTATCTCCCTCACACGCACAAGCCCAGAAATAAATGTGTGCACAATTATTAGTGCATGCACCAACATGTTCACTGTGGTCTTTCCCATGAGATCAGGAACGGGATTTACTGTATGTGGCATCATTATGGGCACTTAAAAATGTTGGTGTCTAGAGCATCTGAGGTTGGGAACTCCTAGGAGGTTTTGTTCAACTTGTAGCAACAATACTCCTCTAGCATGAGCAGAAGAGTTTTGGAGAGTTACTCGCAGGGACAGATCACTCACTCTGTGTTTGGGCTTTTTTCTCAAGGGAGTGTGGTTCTGCCTGGGAATAGAGGCCTCCCTCCCTTCTGAGTCCCTCAGGAAGAGGTGGACATGGTAGAAGGAGTCAAGGGGCCACTGTGTTGCACACAGTCATGGTTATTTTAGGCTCAACAGATTCAGGGTGGGAAGCAGATCCACGCAGAATGCTTCTTTTGTGTGACCTGAACAACCCTCCCAACAGCCCTGTGCGTGGGTTCTGCAAATAAGTCATCTGCTCTCAATGCCTAGACGTAGGCATTGGTCTGGACTAAGGACAAAACACGCAAGCACTGTCTGACCTCTAAGCTCTAGCCTGCGCCTCTGTACCCGATGTTTATAGGCCAAGTGATTACAGAACTCAGCTATCTGAATATTTCAAGCAAATGACATTAGAATTTGAATGGAATTTTATTGCATTTGAATACCCAAATCAAACTTGAACATTTTAATAATGAAACTGGAATTATATCAAATCTGAATGAATTTCAAATAGTCAGGTGCACGGGCCTCTGCTAGAAATACATGGGAGGGGAAACAAGGCTGGCCCAGTTGTAAACTAGTGGACCAGAATGTCAGTGAGCTCCAGTGGGCAGTGCACTAGCTGAGAGTGTGACAGGGTACAATAGGGGAGTAGCTAGAAGGGGGGTGTGGAGAGTCCTCTCTGAAGAGGCCGTTAGGAAGAAGGAGCAGTTGAGGGACAGCAGAATAACAGTCCCTTAAAGGGAGGACTTCATGCAAGCTCCAGTGAGAGGAGAAAGCTTAGGATAGGTCATCTTGCTACCAAGATAAAAATGGAGGACAGAAAGAAAAACAGACAGAGCATCCCTAATCCAAAGACACCCTAGATCCCAACCTTTTTGAGTTCCAATGTGACAAGTAGGAAATCTCATCTGTGCCATAAAACTTTTACTTCTGGCATGAAATTATTTCAAACAGTGAAAAAAAAATGTTTGGACTTGGGCCCAATTCCAAAGGCAACGCATTTCATGCATAGTCAAGTATTCAAAGATATGGAAGAAAACCTGAAATTCTCCTGACCCTTTTGTTCTGGATAAGGGGTCACACCCTGTGCTGACAACTTTATAAACACCACTGATGGGGCTCACATGGCGGGGGGGGGGGGGACACCAGTCCTTCCAGGAGGGCAGTGAAAGAGTCTGACGTTAAGAAGACTGAAGAGCCATAAGTGGTGAAGAAAGACCTTTCTGTGGATTGTCTGTGTGGGCAGGAGTCGGGCTCTGAGGACACACTAAGCCCGCCTCACCCTGAGTTATGATGGGTGGATTAGTGGGGACCTGGCCATATCACTAACCTCTAATCTCTATGTATCTTATTACTTACACTCTCATGTGTCGATAACTAAAACCCAACCATGAAGCTTCCAGAATCTAGAATAAGCTTTCCAAAGAAGCTGGGCACTTTCAAAAATCCCTTAAGTATGCACATTAAGGGTTAATTCTAGGCAGGTGTGCAGGTCATGGGAAAAGGTGACAGAGAGGCCACCTGTCCCAGAGGAAAGTCTCCACCTTTTGAACTGTTAGAGTGTAGAATTCTCTCAGTGGTCATCTTAATTATCTTATTGACATAAAACATGTAAAAAGTAATCTATATTATAGAGCTACCCCTCAGTGTTCGTGAGGAATTGGTTTCAAGATCCCCCTTTATGGGCTACAGATTTATCAGGGTCATGGACACTCTGTTCTTGCACAGCAACAGATACCGACAACAGCTATTGGGTTTGCATGTAATCAAGGCAAACCCTCCCAGACACTGTAGGTCATATGTAGATGACTCCCAAGTCCCAAGATCGTGTAAATTCTGTGCACATACTTGCTTTGTATTTGGAGGAATGTGACAAGAAGCAGTCTGCCCACATTTGGGTCAGACACCATTGGCCTTCCTGGTTATTTTTGCTCTGTGAAGGGCTGAGTAGAAGAAGTGGCTATGTCTCGACTGTGGCATTGTTAAGTTATTTTTCAAAGTGTTAGGGGCCGATGTGATCAAAGCTATTGTGGTAAGAGGAAAACTTGGAAGGTTTGTTGGAAACACAAGATTTCTACGGAGTGTACGATGGGAAGGTGGCTTGTTCCAAACCGTTGGAAAGATCAGCTCAGGAGCCTAACCCAGCACCCAGTAGGACCACACGTGAGCTAGTGCTTTGTGTGGATACTGGGCCATTTTAAAACTGCAATTTCAGATGAAACAATCTAAGCCAAAACAACAGAAAAAAAGCCAAAGCAAATTATCTTTCGAGAGCTTCGGAGAATAATACTCACTTTTCGTAGGATTTAATGGCCTGTTCCACGTTTTGCTTGTAGATATTGAATTTGACTCCTTGGGGGTTAATTAATACCATCTTATTGGTGTCATTGCACATATGTGCCAGAGGGGACACCTACACAGCAACGGAGACAGAAGGGAAAGTGTCACTCGGTGGCTTCACGCGAGCTCTCAAATGTATATTTATATGGGTACATGCCTTTCTGACTATAAAACTCATACTGGAAGTGCAGAAAAGTAGAATGTAGCAATTCTTAAAAGTAAGAATAAGAAATATAATTACTAACTTTTCTTTTTCAATTTTAAAAGCTACGTATTTTCAAAATCATCACTGCAAAACCAACAGAAGAAAACCCAAAATTGTTTCAGGGGACCCTTGTCATCACCGAGAGTTATCTTTAAAAGCTTCTATTAAGTTTGTAAGAGTAGGCAATAAGAAATAGAAATTTTATATGTGTATAATTATTACATGTTATAATAATTATGTTTGCTTATGTGTATGTATGTGCACCACATACATGACTGGTGTCTATGAAGGTTAGAAGAGGGCATCAGGGCCTCTGGAACTGATGCTATGAGTGGTTAGGAATCATCATGTCGGTGTTGGGAATCAAACCCTGGTCCTTCATGAGAGCAACAAGTGCTCTTAACCACTGAGCCATCTCCCCAGTCCCAAGAAATTACTTTTAATAGGGAAATCATTTTACTTTCAATCAAGGTTATGAAGTTCATGCCGTTTGGTTCCCCAGCTTCTAAAACTGTGCAATAATATATTAAGAGACTAGTGCAAAGATGAAAGAAGAAAGAAACTCTATATGGATATAGCTATAAAAACCTGAAGAGATGTAAAGAGGTGAATCAGGGGGAAGTTGTGTCCAGTGATAACATGGCAGTGAGAGTCCAATTCCCAGAGCTAAGTGGGATTGTGAGTGTGCTGGAGAACAAGGGTCCAGGTTGGGCTCAGGTTAGCTGAGGTGACTGAGTCCCTCATCCTTGGAAGAAGGTCCTAATTAGCAAGAGAGGACATTCACATAGCCTCAGAACCAAGAACCAAGCCTGGGGAGAATATCAATGTACACACACCTTCTGCGTCGCCTTTAGCAACTGCAAAGAAGGAACTCTTCCTCACCCTTTCTCAGCTGCACTCAGCTGGGGCTTTGCACTCAGCCTATTGTTTGGTGTCAATTGGGCTGAGCCAAGACAAACAGGAGCTCATTGAAATTCTAAGTGGATGCAATTTTTTTTTGAATCTTGGAAGAATGACATTGGAACCGGAATAGAGGAATGATCTTCATAGATTGAACAAAGTTGAAACTAGGCGTAATCACTTAAAAAGAGCTCGTGAAGTAGGGGCTTATCGAGGTCCCCACAGACAAAAACACAGATAAATGGGTGGCAGAGAGGGGGATATACGGATAGCTATTGAGAAGCTTCTGTGTACAGTAATAGAAATGTCGAGAGAATACAATCAAAGAGGAAGGGCACACAAGAAGCGACATCTGACGGCGCCTGCGGAAGCTTCACAAACGTGGCTGTTGCGAAGCATTAAACTGCAAAACTGAAAAACGGTCGGAAAGACACCATTTGCTGACAATTGACGTAGCTGCTGGCCAGAGTCAAGCTGTTTGATAAGAAAAGAGCCAGACACAGTCTGTCTGTGTGTTCTGGGGAATGGGAGGGGGTGTCTGGATCGAGTACAGAGGGTGCAGCTGTCGGGGATCTTTTTTCACCGGGTCAGCTCTCACAGCAGGGAAGGGAGAGTCTGTGGCCAATTCAGAGGTTCAGCTGCTAACCTGTCTCAAGATTTAACAATAGCATGGCCTCTCAAGTCCCATTTTCAGTTTCCAGAATAAAGGTTGCACCATTTTGAATATTTTTTAACAGTAAAGTTTTAGGTTAGAAACATGGCTTAGTATTTTTGTATTGAGGCATATACAAAAGCTCCGGTTAAGGATTACCTTTGAGGAAGGAGGGAGGGGAAATTGGTCAAAAAAGATGCCATGGGGGTTCTTTATATTACTCGTAATTCCTTAACTACCCTTAAAAGTGTCTAAAACAGGTTGGGTAGTCATGGTGCAGGCCTTTAATCCCAGCACTCAGGAGGCAGAGGCAGGCAGATCTTGGGAATTCCAGGAGGAAGACAAAAGTTTAATGACTTTACTGTGTAAGTATTTTAAAATACATATATTCGCCCTAGAATTAAATCACTAGGACCCAAGTGAGCAGAATGGTCAAAGGTTTGGAAAATGGAAGAGAAAGGCAGGGAGTGAAAAGCTTTGGAGTCTAACCAGCTACTGAGAGACCACAGAGCATGCGGCTGCTGAACGTGCCTTTCAAAGGTAAGGACACAGAACAGGAGGCTAAAGGTGAAATGCCTGGGTTCTGAAACTGAAGATTGCATAAGTGTGTAAAAAAAATAAAATAAAAAGATGAAGGAGAAAGAAAGAAAAAAAATCAGCCCTCAAAATAGAGCAGTATCACAAAAACTTGAAAAAAAAATCAATGCCAACCAAAATGAAAGACATTTATACTTCCCGTGGCCCGGCAGGAAGGCACCCCTTCAGAAGTCTGTAAATCTCCTAGTTTACCAAGTCTAGTGGTCAACGATAAATCAGTACTAAAAAATGCTTAGTCAAAATCCTGACTCTTGACTTCCCCCGCTCAACTAAAGGCAAGTTCCTATGGTACTTCCCTCTTTGGTAGATACAGATCTCATGCCTGGCTTGGCCATCGCGGACTTGAGTGTAGCTGTTCAGATTGTGTACCACCCACTCGCCTTCCTTTCTGCATGCAGGATTGGGGCACAAAGGCATACTCCACACCCTCAGTCTTTTGGTCTTAGTTTAGAGCATGGTGGTTACTTAGAGGCCAGACGATCCACCCTCTTTGTGATGTCAAATTTAGAGTCACAAGGGACATTCCAGGGCTTAGGGGATCACAGTCAGGCTGCCTAGCATCTGGGAAGAGTGAGTGGGGAGGGCAGTGAGGGTCACAAAGAAGCTGAGGACTCAGTTTGGGAGAGAGTAAAGGGATGCGATCACAGCCTCCTTGAAAATGACTTCCTTCATACTTTTATAACTTAGAGGGGGATCCATCCGGACAACATTTGGGAATGGGAAGAAGCCTAAGGCGCCATCTGCTTTAGTTCTCTGAGGCGAAACTAGAGTCCTAACTAAATTCATACAACTACCCCTTAGTGACAAGATTCTAACTATGAGAGCGAGCAGTAGACTAGAGGGGCACATGGGGTAAGTTTGTAGAGTTGGGGAGGCATAGAGAGATGGATAGAAAGATAGACCATAGAGGTAGAAATTTCTAGAATTTATGGTAGGCAAAATTGGGCTGATAGTTATAATTGTTCTACTCTTACATGTAATACCTTGGACCATTAACTGGAAAGCAGGTTCAAGAAAATACAACAACAACAACAATAATAATTTATCCTCACTCTCTGCCAGGAAGAACAGAGACATTCTCTACATATGCTCTCATTCAATGCCATTATAGACAAATACATTTAATTGTAGCTTTTGTTATATGGCAAACTGTCCGCCAAGCTGTAATTTCTTTGTTATTTTTATGGATGGGCATTTGCCTGCATGTCTGTCTGTGTACCATGTGTGAGCCCAGGGCCAGCAAAGACCAGGAGAGGGTGTCAGATCCTCTGGAACTAGAGTTACAGGTGGTTGTGAGCCACCACGTAGGTGCCAGAAATCAAACCTAGGTCTTGTGGAAGAGAAGTCAGTGCTCTGAACTGCTGAGCCTATCTCCAGACCCCTTTTGTTGGCTTTTATAAGTATTGCTTATTTGGGGGGGTTAGTGAAATGGCTCAGTGAGTAAAGGTGGTTTGTACAATCCTGTCTACTTCAGTTCAGGTCACCAGGGCCCAAGTAAAGCTGGGAGAAGAGTATCTGCTCCTTTCACCTCTACATGTGACCTGTGTGCCCTACCCTTATAACACATATGAATTCCAAATTGCTAGTATAATATATGTACTAAACATAAACATATAATAAAATATGCATAATATGTATTGAATAACATGAAAGACTAAAACAGTTTGATATACTGTAAAATATAATTAAGTTTAGATTCTGCCAAATTTGCCTTGTTAGAAATTGAGGCACGGGACAAAGGAAGACTTTATCTGCTGGGGGAGAGTTTACCAAAATGAGCAATGTGAAAAGGATTTTGAAGAGATTTATTTCTTTTTTATTCAAACACGGTAAAAGTAATTGAATGTTGAAATGAAACCATGACACTTTCACACAGTAATAGAAAAGGTCAAGTTTTTGTTTGGTTTGCTTTATGTATGCATGTCACTGTTTCTTAGTGACACCAGAAAGACAGAGGCAATGGGTACTCTCAGGACTCCATGCAAGTTGCCCCAAATGGGAGGAATAGCTCAATAAGTTGTCACAGTTTAGCATGTCATTTTAAAAAGATATTTTTAAAGGTTTTAATTATGTGTAGGCATGTACATCTGTGTTGGGCATGTGCACACATGTGCAGGTACCCATGAAAGCCAGAAGAGGGCATCAGAGCTCCTGGAGCTGGAGGCATAGGCAGCTAGGAACCATCTAACATGGACATTGGGATTCAAACTCAGATCCAGTGGGACAAGCAGTGTCTTCGGCTCTACAATTCCTATTAGTAAATGTGATTAAAACTTATCCAAAAAAATCATTATTACATGGAAACATGTTCAGAGCAGATGCTAAATGAAGAAAATATCATGTATAGTTATGTACACAGCTATTAATTTTCAACATAAATCAGAAGGAATTTACCTGATGACATTAGAAGTAGCAGAAGATGAAATTGAGAAAACTGTGTGAAATTGATGGTTTTACATTTCACTGTTTAATCTAGACCAAATTTATGAATTCCAGTGTTTTTCAATAAATATCTCAGTACTCAGTGACAAACCAGGCAAAGAAAAGCTCTAATTGATGTGTCTAATGAAAATGCAGAGCTCTGTGAGTCTCATGTGGTCATATTTCTGAATGCAGACACAACGGTATTCTAGAAATTGCCATTGTTGAAACGGCTGAGCCCTGAATCTTAAGGGTATGCTCTTCAAATGGCAGCCTTCTAGCAGTTCTCTTCGAACCT